GATTTTTTGCTCAATCAAATTATAACATTTTAAAAATGTTATAATTTAATTTGTTAAAATTTTTTTCCTCCCCTTTTTTCCATTTCTCTCGACCCAAACATGCCATTAGTTTCTAATTTAGGACATTTAAATTTAATTGTTCATTTTTCCCATTTAGTGTGTCATTTAGTGCTTTTATTTCTATTCTACTTTTATTTTAAAAGGATAATTACAATATATATTAAATAAGAAGTCTTATTTAAATAGTATTTAATTAAAAATAAATATAAATTTTTTTAATAAATACTATTGCATTTCTATTTTGTTGGATAAAAAAATTATGCTCACTAAACTTGAAAGGAGAGTACAATATATTAATTACTTTCTTTGTATTAAAATAATTAACGATTTTTGACTTTATATTTATCCTAAATTAATTGTTATTTTTTTAAGGTAAACAAATATTTTTAATTTAGCCTTAACATTATCTATTTATTTTGATTAATTATTTTATTATAAAAAAGTCTTATTTTATCTTTTAATTGTTTTTTAATAGTATATTTGAGTTGAGGAAAATAAAGAAGAGAAAAGGGGAAGGGAAAAGAAATTCATTTTAGTTTATATGTATGTATATATATATTAATTTAGTTAGTTATTCAAATGAGGGGAAGAAAAGAGAGGGGAATAAAAGAATATAATTTCCCTTCCCCTCCCTTCATCCTTCTCAATTCAAATATAAGATAAGAATAATATAGATAAAATATATGAATTGCACCAAAATCTTTAATTTGGAAAAAATTTTAAATAAATATAATCTGACTTTTTCTCTAAATTAAAGATTTAAAAACAATTTATGTGTTTACTTATATTACTTTTAGAAAAAACTAAAAGATAAAGTTAGATTTCTTTTGACAGGATAATTGATCAAAATAAATAGATAATAATAGAATTAAAGTAAAAAAAATATTTATCTATTTTAAAAATAAAAAAATGAAGTAAAAATGATTGTTATTTAAGTGGAGAAGAGTAATAAAAGTATATAAAAATTAGAGTTCAAAACTTAAACACAATATTTCATTTAATTGAAATTTGATTTAAAATTTAAAAAATTTACATTATTAAATGTTAAAAAAAATATTTATCTATTTTAAAAATAAAAAAATGAAGTAAAAATGATTGTTATTTAAGTGGAGAAGAGTAATAAAAGTATATAAAAATTTTGAGGATAATGCATATTAATTTTGATTTTAAAAAAATTAAAAAATTAGAGTTCAAAACTTAAACACAATATTTCATTTAATTGAAATTTGATTTAAAATTTTAAAAATTTACATTATTAAATGTTGATACATATATTTAGAAACTAAAAAAATTTAATTTAAAATTTAAAAATTTATTTTAGTAAATGTTGATATATAAATTTAAAAATAATTTATATTTTAATTTATAATCAATTTTTAAATGCAGTAATTAATATATAATAAGTTGAATTTTTAAATTTTAAATTAAATTTTAATTAAATAAAATAATATTGACTTTTTTTTTGGGAGTTAGAATTGTGCACTTTTCTAAAAATTAATTAAAATTTACTAATAATTACTCTTATGTATATATTTTTAAATAAGGTATTGTGTTAAAAAAATTTTAATTTGATTAAGAAGGATACCAAAGACATGTTATTCCTGATACCAAATAATTTCAACAAAAACTGCAAATTACCTTCTAAAATTATTCCTTTGAAATAAATTATCAACAAAATTGTTGATTGAATTTGCCACCTTAAATTTTTTTTTTTAAATATTGACTTAAATTTAATAGTTACTTATTAATTTTTTGTTGGAGTTCAAGAGTAATTATTTAATGAAGCTTAATGAAAATTATTAAATTTATATTATTTTTTAAAAATTAAAATTTAAAATAATAAATTACTTCAATATTTTTTTGAGTGATAATTTATTATATTATTTTAAGAGATAATTTACATATTTTGCCAATAATTTCTCATGACGGGTAGTCGTAGAGGTGGTTGCGTTGGGTCAAAGAGGACGATGGCTCTTAGATTAGATGTTGTAGAAGTTCTTTTTGGAGAGCCACATATGTGCCAGCAAACTTCACTTTTGGATTTATACCTTTCGTATTTTAGTCAACCAAACACAAGAATGGGAATGGTATCGTATGGTGGCATCTTCCGTTTGCCACCGCTATTGGTGGGAAAAAGCCAGGTGGAAACAGTGATTCTATAAAACTCTGCACACTTTATTAATGTGGACCACTATAGCCTTAGTACTGCTTTGCTCAATTTTTGAGAACAATTTCTATGATAGAAGTGACAATTTTTATTAATACGTGGTTAAGACTTTAAATAATCATATTAGAGATTTTTAATTTAAATATTAAGATGTATAAAGAGGACTTTTAAAAAGAAGAGCTTATTGTAGTATAATTTATTATTTAATATTAAAAAAATGCAATATCAAACTCGAAACAATATTTAAAAAAAAAATCCTTTTAAAGCCAAACACGTCTTAAAATAAGATGCTAGAGTATTGCTCTTTTTTAAATTTTTTATTACTAAAATTTTTAATATATGTTGCTAATAATTTAAATAATTTAATGATAAGTTATTTTCGTTCAAAATAAAAATCATAAGTTTAAATCACATAACATGTGAATAAGGTAAGATAAGGGATGAAAAATGATTGTCTCTCATTATACAATAAAGATAAAAAGTATATATATATATTAAAAATATGATAAAGATATTTTAAAAATAAGTTTTATAATAAAAGTTAAGTAACACAATTTTTTGCTGCTGATAAAAAAAAAAGTAACACAATTTTTTTGTTAATGTATAGTTAAACTTTTAAATCTTCATATTAAAAATTTTAAATTTAAGTTTTATAATAAATAAAAAAAAATTTAAAATAAACTTATTATATAATTTATCATCTAACTTACTTTAACAAAAAATAATAATAATAATAATAATAATATTGATACAAAAATTCCATTTAAGCGAAACAGGCCTTTTAAGTAAGATACAAGAATACTACTCACAAAATTTTTTATTTTAGGAAATCACCGTTTCTACAGCCTCACTCAGCAAAGCACCTCCTGCCTAGATGGAAGAGCAAGTCCCGTCCATGCCAATCCCTCCACCAGGCGCAGGCCAAAATCATACATCCAAACCACACCCAAAACAAAAAAACACGGAATGCTCCCCGCCCTGACTCGCTGAAAGCGACCTTCTACACTCACCGCCATCACACTCTTAACGTAAAAACAAAACTCAAAGTATGCTCCAGACCAGTCGACAGCGGGTGGCTCCGCTCCTCTCTCCCTATTTATCTTCTCGAAGTCCACATTTTCCTCTCCCATAAATTCCCATTCCCCCTCCCCCGCGCCTTCTCATGGCTCTGCAGTCCCTCTCCCCCGCTCCTCCCCTTCCCTCCAGGCCGAGCTCCGTGCTCTCTTCTAAATCCAATGGATTCTTGTTCGCTGATTTCGTCGGTTTGTATTGTAAATCCAAGACTGGAAAACGGAGAGTCGGTGTCTCGTCCAATGCGCGGAGTTCTTCGCGGTTTTGGAGTAACGGTCTCACGGTTAGAGCGGTTCTTGATCTTCAGCGTGTTAATTCTGCTTCCGATCGTCACTCACCGGCCGACTGTCTACCTAAGGTTTGTATTTTGATTTTTTCGAGTCCGGAGATAGTTTTTAGATCATACTTTGGACTGAATCATGTTCTGTTTAAGAGGAGCCGAGACCAAAAACGCTTTTAATTTTCATTTCATTGACTTTTTGGTTCTTTTAGGTGTTTAAACTAGTGAATATCAACTTTCTTGTTACGAACTACTAGACTGTTTTATTGCTATAGCATTGCATATTGAAGTTTCTTGTTTACTTTCTGAAATATGAAATTGAGTTGACTTTGATTCTGTATGGTTTGATTGGGGCGAAAGTTGTAAAATTTTATTAGTTTTGATAATGTAAGCATAAGTTCTGTTTTGATCATGATGAGAAAAGCCACCAGTTCTTGTCTTTTCTATGGATTTTTGTCAATATAATGATGTTAGGGTTGTTTTTGTTTGGTCTGATGATCTTGAATGCATGTTTGGCAGGTTGCTAACTTGGATGATATAATATCAGAAAGAGGAGCATGCGGGGTTGGATTCATTGCCAATCTAGATAATATAGCATCTCATCAAATTGTTAAAGATGCTCTTTCAGCCCTTGGCTGCATGGAGCATAGAGGGGGCTGTGGAGCCGATCACAATTCTGGTGATGGTTCTGGATTGATGTCTTCTATCCCATGGGAGCTTTTTAACAATTGGGCTAAAAAGCAAGGGCTTGCATACTTTGATCAGTTGCACACTGGTGTTGGCATGGTTTTCCTTCCTCAAGATGATAGCCTTATGATAGAGGCCAAGAAAGGTGATAGTTTGCTTTGGTTTAGGTCACTTCAATCACTTTCTCTCTGTTTATTGAGTACATTGATTTTCTAATGCATGAATGGTATATTATGCCTCATTTTACAGTTTATATAGTATATACTCAAAGAGTTAGATAATTTACACAGATCTATTGCCATTTAATTTTATAATTGAGGATTAAAGATATCATTTTGAGGTAGTTAATTCTTAATTCTTTTGGCATGTTGTGCAAGCATTAGTGTTTATGCAATGAATACACTACACTGATTTAGCTTAGGAGCAGTAGCAGTTGCAACTTTATTTGAGTTGGAATTGATTATTGATACTTTGTAGCTTATTGATTCTGGTCCTAAAAGAAATACTTAGAAGTTGTAAAATTGATTTAGAATCTGAGCCTAAAAGTTATACTTGTAAGTAGTAAAATTGTTTTTGAATTTGAAGGCTCTCAGCATGATTGTGAACAAGGGGTGGAAGAACTGAAGAAGCCAAAGATACTTCTCCTAACCCCTACATATCCATTTTACTTGAAAGGCTTTGAATTAGCATTAAAATTAGATCTTTGAACTTTCTGACTGAGTCGGAATGGATTTATTGCCCTGAGAATCTAGATGTATTCTAGCTAAAATTTGTGATATGAGAAGTGTCCCTCTTTATTTTCTCAATTGATGTTAAAACATGATGGAGTCTTCAACCACTCATCACGCCCTTGTTTGTCTAATGACTACTTTCAATATTTATAAATTTCAAGTAAAAGAGAAGGCAGTATTTTTACAATATCATGTTGCTTTCAATCCTTCATTGACTTTTAGCATTCTCAGTTTGTCTGTGTCTATGTTTCTGTTGAAGATCTACAGTGACTTTAAATAACCAGACCAAGTGTCATGTAGAGTGCTTCAATGTAGTAGTGAGACTTGTGTTTTTGGTTTTGACTGATGCTGGTACACTGCACTGTGATCTTGGTGTTGCATCACAATGTTTTTAATGCTTTTAGTAATGTGTTGTATTGTGGTTGATTGGGAAGACTAACTCTATGGATGTTGTACTTGTTAAAACTAATAACTTGGTGTCATGGATGAATCTTGGCCCTCATTGGTGAAACTGACCTCTTGACCCTGTTATTAAATTCATTTTGGGAATAGGATAAGTAGTTTGGCGCTAAATGTAATATTTGTTAGAAATGATTGAATTTTGAGAATGTCCTATCCTAATTTCTAAGATTCAAAGTACCTCTAATGCAGCTTCATTTTTCAACAATCTCCCATACTCAAGTCTAATTTTAATCCTAATAATTGGGGTATCTGGAAGGTCGTCCATATATGCTGAATGATATAATGCCTAAGACCATTAATTATTGTAGGAAATTGACCTGAATTATGAAACACTCTAATTCAATTTTCTCTGATTGAAATCAATTGACTTCAGAATTTAGATTGAAATTCTATGATGTTCTCAAAAAGATGTGTCTAGAATGAAGCCAATCATTTTAAAACTTGTGATTCTAGTTATTTATTTATGCCCATTTTTTAAGTATTACATTGTAACTTGCATGCTTCTGAAGCATGTAATGCATTCTGTCTTGTAGAAATATGTTTATCTGTATTTTAAATAAATATTATGGTGTTTGACTCTCATTTCTAATTGTTTCCGTAGTTATTGAAAGTACTTTTAGACAAGAAGGTCTTGAGGTGCTTGGCTGGAGGAGTGTTCCTGTAAATACATCTGTAGTTGGTTTCTATGCAAAAGAAACCATGCCCAACATACAACAGGTGTTCGTTAGAGTTGTTAAGGGAGAGAATGTTGACGATATTGAGCGAGAACTGTACATCTGCAGGAAATTGATTGAAAAAGCAGCAACCTCTGAGAGTTGGGGAGGGGAGTTTTATTTCTGTTCATTGTCCAACCAAACGATTGTTTATAAAGGCATGCTTCGTTCGGAAGTTCTTGGATTATTTTATTCTGACCTACAGAGTGATCTTTATAAGTCCCCATTTGCTATTTATCACCGGAGATATAGCACAAATACCAGTCCCAGATGGCCTCTTGCTCAACCAATGAGGTTCCTTGGGCATAATGGAGAAATAAATACCATACAGGTTGTATTTTCTCTAATTCTAAATTTGTCTAAAAATCATATCTCTATTTTGGTTTTTGAGATATAAGCTAAATATATATCCCTGTATGCTGATTGCAATTATTTCTTTAGGGTAACTTGAATTGGATGCAATCTCGAGAAACCTCATTGAAGTCCCCTGTTTGGCATGGTCGGGAGAATGAAATTCGCCCATTTGGTAACCCAAAGGCATCTGACTCAGCAAATCTTGATAGTGCAGCAGAGGTATGTGATGTAACTTTCTTATTTTGGAACTTATTGATGTCATGATAAAACATCAGTAACCAGTATACCTTTGCCATAAATGCTATTATGCTACTTGGATTTGATTTTGAATCTCTAACCTGGAATACATGAGTAACCATTCTCCTCTGCTACTTCTATTCACCTTTGGTTCTAACGTTGTTAAAAATTAATGTCTTTTTCTTTTTATATTCTTTGAACAGCTATTAATTAGAAGTGGCCGTACTCCTGATGAGGCTTTAATGATTCTGGTCCCAGAAGCATACAAGAATCATCCAACATTGATGCTTAGATATCCTGAGGTGTATTACACTGATAGTATGCTCTTTCAATTGTTTATATAATTACAGTGTGAACAAATTTTGTTATTTCCACTGTCTAGATAACCTTCCCATTGCAATGTTTTCAACATGAATCAGATAATTCGATCTTTTTATTTATTCCAACATCTTTTTTCATAGGTTGTAGATTTTTATGATTATTACAAGGGTCAGATGGAAGCTTGGGATGGACCTGCCTTACTTCTTTTCAGGTAAATCTTCCCATGACTGTTTTATTTTGCATTTCTCTCTCTCTCTCTCTCTCTCTCTTTTGCAGTTTATTCCGTTTTACTTTCTTGAAGTCTTTGTTGGTCCTTTTCCCCCCTTAAATTGTAATCTTTGTTGGTGGTTTATTATTATTTAGTTTCTTATTATCAAAATTGTAATCCTATGTAGATTAAGAGAGTCTAGAGCCCCTATAGATACCTCCCTGAGGCTTTTGGGTGGTGAGATTATGAGTAATTTGGTAAAGTACAGATTTATCTACTCAGGGTTTAGTGATTGAACTCCACTTTGTCCTATGCATTTTGAAAAATGTTTCTTATTCCACTTTTCCCTAGAATTCCAAGGTCATTAATGAAGCAAGCATAAATAGTTTTGTACACGTGTGTTTCTTTTTTTTTATCATTTATTTTTTAAATGAAAAGGCCTAGCTTCCCTTCATCAGAGAGGGCTAAACAAGTACAAATCTTGGACTCCTTGTGCATTACATATGTCATTGCGCTGTGATTCTTTGCCTTTTAAGTATATTCCTTGGTCACTTTGTTGTAAACTTTTGGATGACAGAGACCTTTGTGTTGCTTAGTTGTATATTCCTACTACCTTTTTACCCAGTTGCTATTTTGTTATCTGATAGTTGCTGCTTTAATTCACATGGTTCAGTGATGGAAAAACAGTTGGGGCTTGCCTTGATCGGAATGGACTTCGACCTGCTAGGTATTGGCGGACAATTGACAATGTTGTCTATGTTGCATCCGAGGTATGGTTGATATGTGATTGAAATGCCTGCTGTCCAACTCTATTTGTGATACTGAATTTATCAAACATCCAAGATCTGGTAGTAGCTCATTGCCAGGCAATTTTTTTGAATAGTCTGGCATCAAAGGCAGCAAAACTGCCAGGATACAATAAATATGAATGTTACCTTTAATCATTGTAATATCATTAAAGTAAGCCATCTTGTTGGTTCTGCCTAAGAAAGAAATAAATGTTTGCAATTGAAAGTTTGTCTTATTGTCAACCATCATGTCTGGTATTGCCAATATGACAGCTTATGGCAGCTTACCTTCATAAATATGTTTAGTATTGCTACGCCATGTGTTAGATAAGGCCGGTCACTTTTTTAAAGCTTGAACTTGACTGGAAAAAGTTTTCTGATTGAGAGCTTATGACCCTCACTTGATGATCATTAATTTATATGCATTCTAAATAATGTTATAGTATATAATAAGAATAAATGTATCTCCAATTCAAGCTCATTAAGTATATTGTATCTCCAACCCAAGCTTGCATACTAGACTATATAATTGAAATTATTGAATCAGACAGAACTAGAAAATAAAGCTCCAGTCAAGAATATGCTTTACTTGTGCCTAGTGACATTACTAGCTCATAAAACTGCATAACAAGCATCATGATTTAGGTGCATTTATGGGTGTAAATGCTTGCATAAAGTAGTTGAGGAATAACTTAATTGGAGGCACATCTTTTCTCCAATGAATATATCCATAGAATGCTGATTTATAGATGAGTCAATGCTATAATAATTATGTTGAGGTTGTAAAAACATGAATTAATGTTGCAAAATGCATGAAAACAGAAAGTTCAGCATAAATTTTCCCAGACTTTGGTAAGAGCTTCTTGATGCTGATTGTCAGCTATTTTATACTTGTTTCTCCTCTTTGATACTGGAACAAGTTCTTTTTGTTTTATGATTACATAATGATTAATGTTTAATTTTCCTCACTTATACAGTGTTTGCAACTCTTTTAGATGATTTTAATCTGGTTTGAGACTATCAATTAGATAGACGTTAATTTTTCCTGGTAAAATTCTTTAGGTTGGTGTTGTACCAGTGGATGATTCTAAGGTTATCATGAAAGGCCGCCTAGGTCCTGGCATGATGATAACTGTTGACTTACTAAGTGGTCAGGTTAGTTTGGCAATTTATTTTTGTTTTATAAGATCTACTTTCGGTCAAAGTTTATGTCATTGTTAATTTTGAACAATAGTGTTGTAACATTAAATTACATTAGGCACACACACGTGCACACATTTTTATATATGTTTATGTGTATTAAATTCTTCTTTTCCAGGACTTATGTGTGATATTTGGTTTATGAGATGTTATTTTTCCTACTTTTTATTTTCTTTTCAATAGATTAATGATCAGGAACTGAACAAGTTGACCAATTTTCATACTTGTATTTATTTTATGTCTGAAACACTTCAATTTACAGGTGTATGAGAATACAGATGTTAAAAAGCGTGTAGCTGGTCTAAATCCATATGGAAAATGGATCAAAGAAAACATGAGATCCTTGAACCCTGTAAATTTTCTCTCAGGAACAGTTACAGAAAATGAGGGAATCTTAAGACGACAACAGTAAGTGTTCTGATTTCATTGGTTGTCTGTCATATTCTTGAATATCAGGGCAGTTTCTTTTGTGTGGGATACTATTACCCACTTCTCACTGTGAATGTAGATGAGACATCATGCATCTAGCTGATAGAGCTTTGATAATTTTAGACATAATGGTCTGGGCACATGGTGATACAGTGTATGATGGATACATAGATCATTAGATATTTAGATATTTAACCAATGCATGTATGCCTTACCTACCCCATGCACTTGAAGTTCTTGTAACTCACTTTTTTTTTTTTTTTTCCTTTTGGAAATAGCTAAATGAATGTCATGGTACTTTGATGAATCTATTGTCATGCTTTTCCTTTACATGCATCTCAGTATCTCATTTCACCACAAAATGAAATGCTTAGGAAAAAAATGTTAAAAGGCATCTGCAGCTTAAATTTGGTCTATAACTAAGGACATGCTTTGGAAGTGCTTGAAATCTGTCACACGAGCATGCAAGTTTTCAAGGTCCATGCATTTTTATATTGGTTTTTTACACATACATGTGACGATGTGCCAAAGTGTCAGAAATTAGAAAATAGAAGCATTGAGTGGTTAGATTGAGTGGTTATGTAGAATGGCTGAATTCATTTATAAAGTTTGATCAACTTATATGCATGCTTTTACTTTCATGGTACTTTTAATTGCTGTTTGGGTGCAAAGTAGGCATGTAAATCAAGGATGTAGCGTGCTATCAGATAAACTGACTTTCCTGTAAACTATCATTCTGTTTTTGTTTATATTGAGGTTGATTGGCCTTGATTGAAGCATCTTAAATTCCAGTAAGCATAACCTAACGATAAACTGACTTTCCTGTAAACTATCATTCTGTTTTTGTGATGGACCAGGGCATTTGGCTATTCTAGTGAGGATGTTGAAATGGTTATTGAGACAATGGCTGCACAAGGAAAGGAGCCTACATTCTGCATGGGAGATGATATTCCATTAGCAATACTGTCACAGAAACCACATTTGCTTTATGATTATTTTAAGCAGCGTTTTGCACAGGTTTAAAAAAATTTTAATGCACATTTAATGAACTTATGAATATGCTGCATCTGCACTCTATTGATTATGTTATCAATTCAGTTCTAATGGAGTAATATGTGCCATTTATTTAAATTAAATTTGGTTAAACTTGTAACTGCTATTAAACTTGATATTTGACAACATCATTGTATGCTTGATTTTAATTCTGTTATTTTGAGTTTCGAATTTCTAGGCCTTGATAGGCTAGCTTTTGTAAGTCATTATTTGCTTTTCCTTCTCCTATTGCTTGATATCTTGGTTATTTCTTCTTGAGGTGTTCAAGCAAAACAACCCATTAGGCTTTAGGAACCTTGGACTTTGGATACATAAAACTGTAAAATAAAAATATAAATTTAAGCAAATTTTTTCAAATGAGCTTTCCTGAAATTTTAATTGATTTCACATGTGAATTAGTTTACTTTTTGGTCATTTAATTTAGTCTGTTTTTCTTTGTCATGGTATCCATAAATCTAATATTTTCTCTTCACGATTTTGACCTAATTGTTATGCACTGTTTATATGCAGGTCACAAATCCAGCAATTGATCCACTTCGAGAAGGATTAGTTATGTCTCTTGAAGTCAATATTGGAAAACGAGGAAATATATTAGAGGTTGGGCCTGAAAATGCTTCACAGGTTCGTGTTTTTTCCTTTTCCTGAATTCATATTTCATTTGGTTTGCATTATACTCATCAAAATAAATTTAAATAATAGTTTTAATAATTTTCTAATTTTTTCACAAGTTTGAAAATTTAAAAATTTTCTAATTTTCTTATTTATTTGTCATCCTGAGCCAGGTTACTTTATCCAGTCCTGTACTAAATGAAGGGCAGCTTGAGTCATTAGTAAAGGATACCAAACTGAAGGCCAAAGTTCTACCAACTCTTTTTGATATACGTAAAGGGATAGAAGGTTCTTTGGAACAGACACTTAACAGACTTTGTGAAGCTGCAGATGAAGCTGTTCGTAGTGGTTCAGAGCTTCTTGTTCTCTCTGATTGCTCTGATGAGCTGGTATGCAGCCATTTTCACCTCTTTATTTGATTCACTCATATAGAAGTAGAACCTTGTTAAGTTATTCTAACATCTTGTTTCCTAGGATCTGAGTTTAGCTTAGCTTTGGTTATGATAATTTCAAATGGCCTCTATTTTATTTTCTTCTAATTCATCATTGATTGCAACAAAGATTTTAGATTCTGGTTGTTGTGCTTGTCATGTGCTTTCAGCTCTTTTCTGTTGCTGCTATATAAGACAGTACTGGTATTTTGCAATGTGAATTTAGTTTATGATGCAAAACCAAGTTTGTTAAGTAGGATTCCCATTTGCACCGATGCAGTTGCTTGCTGCATCTCTTTTTATGTCTATCTCTCTCATCTTCATGCTCCAAATTTAAGAATATTTCATTGTTACTTAGGTTCTAGTGCTGCTATATTTTCTTCTCATAAAATTAGTGTTCTGTGCCCCGGATTCTTTCTTTTCTTTTCTTTTCTTTTTTTTTTTTTGATTTTATAGGTTGCACACCATACTTATTTTGAATTTTTGTGGTGTATTTCACCAATGTATTTTTAATATTTCACTTTCCAGGAGCCAACACGACCTGCAATTCCAATACTTCTTGCTGTTGGTGCTGTTCACCAGCATCTTATTCAAAATGGCTTGCGAATGTCTGCTTCCATAGTTGCAGATACAGCTCAGTGCTTCAGCACACATCACTTTGCATGTTTAATTGGATATGGGGCAAGGTTGGCTCTCTTCGTTATTGTAGGCGTTTTCTTTTAGCAATAGCCTTTTTTTGCTAAATTATACTGAGTACCATAAAATGTGGATGATAGAAGTGGGATACTATCCATGGATTATATGTGGTTTGTGGCTATGGAATGAATATCTGCTTTCCTAGAGCTTAATTTTTATGGTTCTCTTTTTCTTTCTTTTTCTTTTTCGGATAAATTGGTACACAAAATTTTAGGCTTAAGTTAATTCTTTTCCCAATATGTAGGTGCTCTCTTGCATATCACTCTTGTACTCCTCTTTCTTTTTTAATTTTTGGCAAAAAGGAATACCACTCTTGGACTTTGTTTGGCTCTTAATTGGTGTTTTTTATTAATTTTTTTATCCAAAAAAAAAAAAGGGGAAAAAGAGGATTATTCTAAGGAATTATCTTATGAAGTTTCTGTTCTATTTCATTAGAAGAGATGAATTACAGTTTAAAATCTATTCATCTGAGCTTGTCTATGATTTCCTTTCTCTCTGTTCCTATTTTCTCAAAGTTTCAAATAGTTATGCTGTTTTTAGGCTTCTTTAGTCTTGTTGCTTTCATTGCACAAAAATGATTGGTTGAAATGCTAATAAATCTTCTTCTATCCATAATGCTGAAATTATTCGTGTTATATCTGCCTCTAAAATAATTTATAGTGCTGTATGCCCACACTTGGCACTCGAAACATGCCGGCAGTGGCGACTGAGTACTAAAACGGTGAACCTCATGCGGAATGGAAAGATGCCTACTGTGACAATTGAGCAGGCTCAAAAGAACTACTGCAAGGTCAGTGTTTTAAAAAATTTTGGAATGTTCATTTTACTCTGTTGTAGTACCATGCAAATTTTGGATGTTCATCTGATTTTGTTTTTTCATTGTGATCCTCCTACTTATCCACCTTCCATTGGCATGTATCAAATTTGCAGAGTCTTGCTATATTTACATGATCAGATGTTTAGGATCCTAGCTACTAGGTTTCTTATCTTCACTTGTCTGGCCAATGGAGTGCTCTGTGTCACCTCAAGACTAGATGAAAATACTTGAAAGTTAATATGATGGATGAAATACTGCAACATGTACCTTGTGCATATAGCACATGATACTTGCAGTCTCTAATCTAGTTGAATCATCAAGGGCACACGGCAAAAGAGCTGTTTACTTGTATACTTGAAACGTTTTTTTTAGCATGCGGTAGAAAATGATGAAAACCTTTGTGTGGGGCAAGTATAGTAACCTTGAAAATTTTAGCTGTCATGAGAGCCATCATACAATTTGAAAATTGGAAGTGTTCTTAAATATTAACTAGAGTCCATCTAATTTCCATTTTCTAATTGGTTGATACTGAAGAACATAATACCTAAAGTATTCAGCTAAATTCTATAATTTCCTAAACAGTGTTGGAAAAAGCTTGCCTAGGCAGCACTTAGGTGCTGCTTAAGCTCTTGGTGGTAGAGTTAGGCATTTCTTCTATTTTTTTGGATTTTCTGTTCTATTTTGGCATTTTTACAGAAAAATAAAATCACCTAGAACGCTTAACAGTGCTTAGATAGCGCCTAAGCACTGCCTAGGCACTAGGCAGTGGCCTAACACCCACCATTGTCTCTCACATTCTGCAACCTTGTTCCTAAATGTCATACGCATGAGCTTTCACCCTGAGTAGCCTTAATTTTGATCAAGAATTTAATCCCACTTTCCTTGGAAAATTGAAATAAACTTAAGCTTGTTATGCTACTCTGGTTTCTTCTAATCTTTGTTGATGATGGGGTTTTATTCCACACCTCAAATGTAATGTGTGGTTATTTGGTGCTATTCCAGGCAATTAAAGCTGGTCTACTCAAAATCCTTTCTAAGGTGGGCATCTCTTTGCTCTCAAGGTAGGAGTTACTGAAATATCCTCTTTCTGTGATTAATACCACTCTTAAATTAATTATTTTGCTTTTCATTTTGCTGGCAAATTGACCTGTGTACTTTATTTAGTTACTGTGGTGCACAGATATTTGAGGTTTACGGACTAGGGAAGGAGATTGTTGATTTTGCATTTTGTGGGAGTGTATCAAATATTGGTGGATTAACATTTGATGAGGTTAGAAAGAAAACTTGGTCTTTAAATTGGACAAGATCCTGTTATCAGAAATGCATGATATGCTGGTTATGTAGTTATACTTTCAAATCATTTGTGTAGAACTCATTTAACTCTATAGGACAATGTTTGTTAGTTTTGTGCTTCTCATATGTGGTAGTTCATTTCATGTTCAACTCTACTATTTCTTTGTTGAGTCAAGATCCACTTACACATGCATTAGTCTTCCATTGTTGATTTCCAAATCCAACACTTGAAAATAATGGTACATTATTTACTAATTTATCTCAAACCATTGGTTTGGAAATCAATGGCTGATAATTTATGGAAGACTTACCTGTGTAATTGGATATTGACTCTTACTTGTTTGGCCATCATCAGATAAGCTTTTGCTCCCAAAAAATTTTAAAGAATAAGTAGCACTGGCTTTCTGACCTTTCATAACAGATTTGCTTGGAACCTTCTGTTGGTTGGAGTATTTTCAAATTGAAGAGTGATAGTATTTGAATGCTATTTTACTGGGCGTATCTCAATCACCTATAAGTTTTTTATTTTGTTTAATAGAACCTGAGAAATTTACAGATGATGCTTGGTGTTTTCAAGTTTTGTTCTATTTGTAAAGAACAACTGATCAGTGGAATCCTGTGTGATTTATTTGGTAGGAAAGCTTAAGAACATAGAGTGATGCAACTGAGACTTGGCTATGTGATGTTACTGCAGAACTGGTTTATAGGCTTCTATTTGCGATGAGTTGGCAAGATGCCACTTGACTCTGAATTTTGATCTTGACCTACTTAGTTTCTAGATCTTTAAACCATCTTAGTTTTTATTTTGGCGATTAAGGGTCTCCTGTTCTGTTGAATTCTCTTCCTATTGTTTTTACCTTCACCAAATTCTACTTTCTTGCAGTTGGCAAGGGAGACTTTGTCATTCTGGGTAAAGGCTTTCTCCGAAGATACAGCTAAAAGATTGGAAAATTTTGGATTTATACAGTTCAGACCTGGAGGTATACTTTACTATCAAATATGACTGATGATTTGCCCTCCTGTTTGGAAAAAGAAAAAGGATCTGCTCTCATGTCAACCAAATGATCACGTCTTATTATGTTCTTGAAATATATGTGAAAACCTAATTATATAATAGGGGGATATTGGCTACCTTTACATTGTCATTCATACAATTTAGTCTCTTTCACATAGGATATGCCTGGAATATGTTAATCTGTTAACATTTAGCTTATCTCAAAGGCTTATAAGGAGTAGTTTAATTTTATTTTTTTAATAATATTTCTTTCTTTATTTTGCTGTTATAGGGGAATATCATGGAAACAACCCTGAGATGTCAAAATTGCTCCACAAAGCTGTTCGCCAGAAGAGTGAGAGTGCATTTTCAGTTTATCAACAGCACCTGGCTAACCGTCCAGTGAATGTAAGTGCTTTCATATGTTTTTCCTTCTTTTCCAATCTGATGACTAACATTCTGTATTATCTATGAAAACATTTTCTTATTTTGACTGCAGGTTCTTCGTGATCTTCTTGAGTTCAAAAGTGATCGAGCACCGATTCCTGTTGGAAAGGTTGAACCAGCTTCATCTATAGTGCAACGGTTTTGCACTGGGGGAATGTCGCTAGGTGCTATATCAAGGGAAACTCATGAAGCAATTGCCATTGCTATGAACAGATTAGGTGGAAAGTCTAATTCAGGAGAAGGTGGTGAGGTAGTCTTTTCACCATTTTTTTTATTAGATTGTTGTTTAAAATGATTTTGAGATTTTTTGATACAGGACTGCTTAAGGGGTATGGTGGGCTTGGGGATTTAGAGGCTGTTTACTGTAAATTTAGGGTGTGAACAGTGAATCAGGGTTTAAAGCAGCTGTTTCAGGCATTGAAAGGTGGAAAACAAACAGAAAAACTAATGAAAAAGGTAGGAAAATCCTAGGAGTCACACCTAAAATTGGTTGCATCATAGAACCAAGACTGCATCACACAATCCCAAGAGAAAACTCTTGCTGCAAATTTCTGAATATTTGACTGACCACCAATTAAAGAAGTTACAAGAATATTTATGATCCTAAGATTCCTAAATTAACAAGAAATAGTATACGTATTCTAAATTCTAATTAGACTCAACAAAAATAAAAAATACCTAAATAGTAAAAAACTTATAATAAGACTCTTAATAAAAGACTAATGCTAATAAAATTAGGAAAACTAATGATAACCACACTCAAATAAAAATAATTACTTAAGAATCCTAAATAATCTAAATAACTCTTCCTTAGCCTCTTCTTGTTCCTCATCATTTTGACTTGGTCGTAGTCATTGGTATTTTTTTCCCCTTTAAGCTTAGGGTTAAATGTTTGCTAATAGCTCCTGCAGCCTGTTTCTTGGCTCCTTATTCTGCTCAAGAATTGTAGATAGGTAGATATAAGATGTGTCATGTTAAAAATTGATATTCATTGTTCTGTTTCTTCAAGGATCCTATCCGCTGGAGCCCACTTACAGATGTTGTTGATGGCTACTCTCCAACACTACCACATCTCAAAGGTCTTCAAAATGGTGATACTGCTACAAGTGCTATAAAGCAGGTTATCAAACTCATCTTGCTTTTAAACAAGCTATCAGCTTCTGTAATCTGCTTTTGTAGGCTTTATGTGTTCCTTGTGGTCCTAAAGAATCAAATCCTACACTTTTGGTTATCTATTGAAAGTGCAGAAGAGAACCATTTCTAGTGGTGCATCATTTATCCTTTGCCTCCTCATAGTTACACATATTTTTACTTTGCTACATGGTAGTTGGAATGTGACACTTTGCCTTCTGTGACTTGTTCTGTTATTTTTTCAAACTAAATGGATCCTGTTTTTAAGTAAATTTGAGGACAACTTCAAAATTTGAGGATGACCTTATGCCAGAAAAAGTACAGCTTTTGTTATGTAGTGTTATCCCAAATTGGTAAAGTTGGGTTTGTTGTGATCTTATGTTCAAGTTGGCCTCACAACGTACAGCCAATTACTCTTTTCAATTGATGCTTTAACCTACTGTTACAAACCTAGGTTTGTTTGTTTCCCTTGTGTTATTTGGCTCACCTTCATTGTCCACATGTCAAGCTCATTGCTTCCAATGGTTTTATTGACTGATGCTACGAGGGTAATTTTTCAGCAGGTTTTATCACAAGACCATTAAGTTTGGGGTTTCTTGCAGTCACATATTCATTTTATGTATTTCCATCTGTGGTCAATTGGTTTGAAATAAATGAGTTTACAACTTTATTTAAAATCAATCTGCATGACCTTCGTGCATGATTTTTCTTTAATCCTGGTTTATTTATACAAGTTCATATATTTTTACAATGAAAATAGTTTCTTTGTGGGCAGAAAAAAAAATTAAAACAAAAAAACAAAAAAACGAAAAACACTACATAATTTTTCACTCTATAAAACACAGAATGGTACATGAAAATAGGATTAGACATAATCTACATTCTTCCTAAATGTTTTTTATTAGATTGGAAGTGCATGTTTAAAGATGATAGCTTTCTGGTCTGCAGACATAATCCTTTACTTTTATAACTTAAGAAATAATTATTTTGATTGTTGCTTTCCTTCTCATACTTCTATTAATTACTATTTCTTCAGGTTGCTTCTGGTCGTTTTGGAGTCACTCCAACATTCTTGGTCAATGCTGATCAGTTGGAAATCAAAATTGCACAAGGTGCAAAGCCTGGTGAAGGAGGTCAACTGCCTGGAAAAAAAGTTAGTGCATATATTGCAAGGTTGAGAAATTCTAAACCAGGAGTTCCACTTATATCTCCACCTCCACACCATGACATATATTCAATTGAGGATCTTGCCCAGCTGATCTTTGACCTTCATCAGGCAATCACTTGCTTAATATTGAATCTGCTTTTATTCTTGGCCAAAGAAGTAAATCCATCATACTGATGAGAATGATCTGCTATATCTTCTAAACAAATAGGTCAACCCTAAGGCTAAGGTGTCTGTCAAGCTTGTGGCAGAAGCTGGAATAGGAACAGTTGCTTCTGGAGTTGCAAAGGGTAATGCAGATATCATACAGGTAATCAACATGTTATATTCTGTGTCTAGATTTACAGGATCTTCATCTTGCTTGAAATGACAAAGCCAAAACATCAACATGGAGATTGCATCTATGATAAAGTCTGTTAAATGTCTTCCTAATAAGTCATCAATACACCTGTTTTACTTTAGTTTTTTATTGGGCTTTGTAAAATAAAAGTAGAAACTAAAATTAGACTAAGTCTCGAATTATCTAATCTATGTACTACGATGGTCTAGTACAGATATGAGGTCAATAAAAGCATTAAACAACATAATAAAGCCCTAGAGTTTAATGAGAGCCAGAACCTTGCAGTTATAATTTGGCGATCAATTGCTCATGACTGCCAGTTTGCCTGCAATGTAATTATTCTTCACAAAACAAGCAATGTTTTTCACTCAACTCTACAGGACATATGATTTCTCTTATGCTTCAGCACTTTAGTGGGTGATCTCTTCTAGCAAAATGACTCAGAAGATTTACTGTATAAGCACAATAATACCAGAAAGAAACCATTTTGAGATGTCAAGAGTATCAGATGAATTGTTTATAAGTTGACTAATTACTTACTCTGATTTGGCTCGACAGATATCAGGACATGATGGTGGAACTGGAGCCAGCCCCATAAGTTCTATTAAGCATGCTGGAGGTCCTTGGGAACTTGGACTTACAGAAACCCATCAGGTACTTGTTTGATATTTGTGAATTAGGTCATGGCAATTTCCTTTTAATTCCTTTCTGGACAGTTTTGATTGTATTTGATAATATTATCAAACTTTTACAGACTCTTATTGAAAATGGGCTAAGAGAAAGAGTAATTCTCAGAGTTGATGGTGGTTTTAAAAGTGGAGTGGATGTCCTAATGGCTGCAGCAATGGGTGCTGATGAATATGGATTTGGTTCTGTGGCAATGATTGCCACTGGGTGTGTAATGGCGCGCATTTGTCACACAAATAATTGCCCAGTTGGTGTTGCCAGTCAGGTATTAGGAACCTACTTGTTATATGATGTTATCATTTTCTTTGCCCATTTAAAAAATTACATGGTAAAAGATTATTTCCTTCTTGCGGTGACCTTAGCGAGAAGAACTGCGTGCTCGATTTCCCGGTGTGCCTGGTGACCTTGTGAATTACTTTCTTTATGTTGCTGAGGAGGTAATCCATTTTAGATTTCTTATTGAATTCTTCCATTTTCTGTTTTTCCTCAATGTAACCTTTTCTTCATTTTACATTGAAATGCTTGCCTTCTATTACTGATTCTTTCATTCTTTATTCTATTGTTTAGGTTAGAGGCATTTTAGCACAACTTGGCTATGAGAAGTTGGATGACATAATTGGACAAACAGAGTTATTAAGACCACGGGACATCTCGCTGGTGAAAACTCAGCATCTTGATCTGGGTTACATTCTTTCGGTGTGTATTCAATTTCATTTGTTTATTCACGTGTTTTTTGTTGTGGGCATGCGAATATTTATTTTTGAAAACATCTAGCACAACTGCTGTCTTTATTTCTAGAGTGTTGGGCAACCAAAATGGAGAAGCACTGCCATCAGGAATCAGGAAGTGCATACTAATGGTCCTGTTCTGGATGATAATTTACTTGTGGATCCAGAGGTAATAACTTTCAACTAATTGAAAATAATGCATCATACCCTTTATGCTTTTTCCAGAGAGCCTCAGTACCATCGAATTGATTTTCAGTTCCTATTTGTGTATTATGTTTGAATGAATAAGAACATAATAGACTAGCAAAACAATTCTTCACCTTTTCGTTGCAATTTTATGGTGATAGTATAAGATTTGTGGATCAATCTGTACTTTCCCTGTGATGTTTTTGTATAAATATACTAGGTATATTTGGGTAAATCCCTTGTTGCAAGGATGATCATGATAAGTTTATCATTTTTTTATGCTCAAAATGAAACCCCAAGTCAAAATCTCCTCTCCAAGAATGCAACCAGAAATAGAATTTTGTTTTAAACCAATAATAATAAAAGACAAATGGATGACTAGTGTTTGGTTCTCTTTCAGTTTGTTACATTGCACTTATTGTTAGGTTTTTATCTGGTATATAAGTGATTTCCCAATTACATTCCTTGCTAAGAAGCTTTCTTAATTTCTTTCCAGATATCAGATGCTATTGAAAATGAAAAGGTGGTTACTAAAACTGTAAAGATCTACAATGTAGACCGTGCTGTTTGTGGTCGTGTGGCAGGTGTGGTTGCCAAGAAATATGGTGACACAGGTTTTGCTGGGCAGCTTAATATAACGTGAGATTTGGCTTCTCGACGGTAAACTATAATATTCCTAAACAATTTTTCATTTAGTTTTATTACAATCTAAATGAGTTTTCTTCTTAACAGATTTACTGGTAGTGCTGGGCAGTCATTTGCATGCTTTCTGACACCAGGAATGAACATTCGGCTTGTAGGAGAGGCTAATGATTATGTGGGAAAGGTGCATTTACTTAATTTCTATATTCATGAACTACTGAAGAAATTAATAGTCTACGTGAAGTTATTTTGTTCACCAAATTTTGAAGTTTGTTAACCCCAGATTTATGTATTCATTTTTCATTTTCTCTCTTACATCTAACTTTGATTTTTTTGACTATTCAACTGATATTTTTTTATGGAAATAAACTTTTATTTTTAATGTCTCCAATTCAGTTAATTTAATTCAAAATAAACTGATTTGTGAACACAATGGACAAACTTTCAAGTTGGGAATAATATTTCGTTCATGGCTGACCCTCTAACTAATAAAATCTAACATGAGACATGGAAATTTTACAAGGGTATGGCTGGAGGTGAGTTGGTTGTAACTTCAGTTGAGAACACTGGGTTTTGCCCTGAGGATGCCACCATAGTTGGAAACACATGTTTGTACGGGGCAACTGGTGGTCAGGTCTTTGTTAGAGGGAAAGCTGGAGAACGGTTTGCTGTCAGAAATTCACTTGCTCAGGCAGTAGTTGAAGGAACTGGAGATCATTGCTGTGAATATATGACTGGAGGTTGTGTGGTTGTACTCGGAAAGTGAGTAACGTTCCTTTCTCTGTCTTAGTATCATCTAAGAAATTGATGAAATGCATTACAGATTACTCAAATTTTAATCTTTAATTTTGACAGAGTGGGTAGAAATGTTGCTGCCGGCATGACAGGAGGTTTGGCATACATTCTTGATGAGGACGATACTCTTACACCCAAGGTTCGTTGTCATGCAAGCTTACCTTCTTTTTTCATGTCTTAATGGTTGAATTTTATAATTTGAAAATTTATTGCTTGCCAATTGTTTGTCAGTAGAGGTGCACAACTTCAATTTGATAGAAGGTGGATTCTAGAAGAATAGAAGAGACAACTTTACTGCTAATGCTTAAAAATATAATTACGTATAACTCTCTATCTTTTTAAATTTCCAAAGGAAAATGATTGATACACACTCTGATTTAACACATCCACCAACACTTCCAGTTTAGTCATTAAAATGTGAAACTTTAGGTTTTATCGCCTTTAATTCAAATTTGAAAATAAAAATCTTTTAATGAATGTGTTGTAAAGTGTGTTGAAGCGGAAGGTGTTTGTATCCATGTCCATTCTGGAATCCTTATCCTCCATTTCAAAAAGTGGTAAATATTTCAAATGGGTGCCTTCCCACCTACTACACTAGAACAAAAAGGAAAACACAATAATGCATGCACACAATCCTACGTATCTGCTAATGGTGTCATGAAATTCCTAATTTCATCAAATTCCTTCTAAAGTTTAATGATGCCATCCACTAAAAATTTGAACAGGTAAATAAGGAAATTGTGAAGATTCAAAGGGTTACTGCGCCTGTTGGACAGATGCAGCTGAAGAACCTTATTGAGGCCCATGTTGTAAGTTCCAAAAATGATTATCATCATTCACGGCCACATGACAAGCAGATGCATACCTCTTAACAATGCATCCAGATTGATGCGCATGGACATGCCATATAACACAATGCATAGGTGCATGCATATACCACATGATGCTACATTTAGATTTTAAAAAATATGTTACTGTACTAGCTCTGCAGCTATTACTGAGTTGATCTTTGGGGTTTTGTGACTACTTGCTGACTTTTTGTTTGTTCTCATTATATACACTTTTGGAGCTATTCCCAACTTCAACTAACTCATCATTGTTGCATAACCATATGTGGCTGTATTTATCATGATCTCGTATCTCTAAAATACCTCTTTTACAAAGCAAAAAACTGGGAGTGGCAAAGGGCGTGCTATTTTGGAGGATTGGGACAAGTATCTACCTCTGTTTTGGCAGCTGGTTCCACCAAGTGAAGAGGATACGCCAGAGGCTTCAGCGGAATATCAGAGTACAGCTACCGGGCAGGTGACACTGCAATCTGCATAAGATAAAATTGTGAAATGTATTCCGCCAACACATTATTTCTGCCCAAGGTGTGACCTGTGTACAGCTAAAACATGAAGGAGATGAAGCGATGAAGCTTTGCAAAAGTTTGGTAATGGAAGATGGATTATCAAGCCCGCTGGTTTATCCATCAGTAGCTTGCATCTTCCGAGTGCTACAAAAGTTGTATAGCCTTCTGTTTCTTCAATGTTATAGATTGTAACAACAAATTGTAGTGGCATGCTATTGGAAATTATGGCTTTCTATTCGTCTACTTAACATTGGAATGTATTTTTCATCTTTTAAAGGATGAGATTGTGATCAAATTCAATTGAGTTTTGAAATTCATTCACCCATTATCTTATTTTACAAGTCTTACAAATAATTATATAACATAACAATGAGTTACATATTAGTCAATAAAAAAAAGGCTAAAATATTGCAATTACGGAGATTGTGACTTGGTGTTTGTGGTTCATTCGTTGGAGGTGTCAACTGGAACCATGTTAGATGCAATTTTTTGAACTCTTATTATTATTATTATTTAAAAATTATTAAAAAAAAAAAGAAAAAAAGAAAGAAAGAAAGAAAGAAAAGAAGATGTTTTCAGTTTCTATAGTGTCAGAAGCTAAAACTCTAAAATTGTAGCTATCGAAGTGGATCTTCTGTGTTTCGTTTGTATTTAAGCTTCTAATTAGATAAGCTTTATAAATTTTAAAATTTTTATGATTATTTTATATGAATTTATAACTCAACACTTAAAAAAAAAGGTAGAATTTCTCTAGAAGTTACATTCATTATGCCAAACAGCTATGAAAATTACTATACTTTTGCTGACCAAGAGAAAAATGCATTAGTATAGTTTATTTGGTTATGGATGTCCAAGATTCCAAATGCTACACTAGAAAGGCTTTGGGGGATAAATAAAAATTTTACGGATATACCATCCTCAATTGTTTTACAATAATTCTCTGTAATCTGATTATTTCTTCATGAATGATATTCTATAGTAAAAAAAAAAAATGTAAATAAAGATCTTAATTTTGTATTTTTTTATTTAAAAATATTAATTTTGTTAGTTTTTAAACAAATATATTAATTTTTAATTTTTTTATTTAAGAATATAT